GGACCTTTTAATCAGCAAACAGTTAGGCTTGAAGAATTTGGCTGTAATTGGTACTGATGATGTCTTAGTGATGGTTGGTATAAACAATGGCGTTTATGCCAAGTTGAAGGAAGCTAACCCATCAATACTTATAAAATGTATGCGTCATTTATTGCAGCTAGCATTATCACATGCTTCATCTAAATATTTACCAAGGAATTTGGAATACCTTATTGCTGAAACACTCTACTGGTTTTCCAAATCATTTGTCAGACAACAGCAATTCAATACATTATATACCGCCTTGAATGATGGTTCCACACCACCGAAAATTCTGTCAGATTGCAAAACTAGATGGTTATCAATTTAACCAGCTGTTGAAAGAATTATGAAGCAATGGCTGAAGTTGAAGACACTTTGAAATAACAAGACAAAGTGAAAAGTGCTACATAGCTGAAATACTATTTTGGAATGTACAGTGATAAAAAAGAATTTGTCATTCATTCTCTTTTTATAACCTATTCTAATGGAAGTGCAAAAAGTTATTAAACTGTCCGAATCTAAACTTGTTGATAAAGTTAAATTCCTTGATGATCTCACCTTGCTATTTCACTCGGTAAAAGACTGGTGTTGCCAACTTCTAAAGCTGATTTGCTCACTTGCAATATAGAGAGCTATTTGGCTCCTAAGCCACACCTTGGATATTAAATCTAATAAAAAATTGATGATTTAAAAACAAAAGGGCTGTTAACAGAGAATGAAGAGAACAACTTAAGAGAACACTGTCAAGATTTCCTTATCTCATTATTGAAGCAATTGAAGCAGAGACTTCCGGAAAATCTAGATGTTTTGAAAAATATTTCACTTTTTTCTGTGAGCAACATACTTCAGCCAATAAAGGACATACCTAAATATTGTAAAGTTATGAAATTTTTAGGGGCTACTGATAATAGTGTCGCGGAAGCAGAATATCTTTTAACCAAATTAAAGTTAGCTGAATGGACAAACAAAACAGAAACTAAAGCGTTTTGGAGTGAAGTGAGACAATTTAAAGATGCCTCAACAAGTCCATTCTGTAAGCTCTTTAAAGTGCCATGTCTACCACGATACTACCCCACTCAAATGCTGACGTAGCAAGAGTTTTCAGTGCTAGGAATTATATCAAATATAACCTGAAAAACAGGATGAAATTTGACCTTTTAAATGCTATCGTGCCATTAAAATTCGGCCTGATGAGACTAGAGAAATAAGCCTACTGTTCCACTTATAAAGAAATTTGAACAGCTAAAGCATACCAGGGTCATTTTGGATCTGAAGCTTCAACTTCATTATCCAAGCTAAGTTTATCCCGTGGATCTTGTGAGGCTGACATCAGTGAAGGTGAGGACATAATTATGTAGGGTAAGTCATAACAAAAGCTATGTAATTTTTGACTTTTTCAATTTGGATGTTTTGTCTAGATCTTTTCCACCCAGATTTAGATCTTTTTAGATATTTTTTGACACCGTTTTGGATATTTTTTGTCAAAGAAAAGTGGCAACACTGGTTTTTGGCTGGATCTGTGTGTTTGCGTTGATCTTGTGTTATTGGGGTGCATGTTTTGGTGGATTTGTGTGTTTGGATAGAAGTTTATGGGTTTGTGTGGCGGGTAAATTCGTTTTAATCTAGCGAATGCACTATGTGCAATCTACAGAGGGAATTACAAACATTGAAACATACTAAAAGATTATATGTCTCCCAGCTTTGCTGGTTGAAGGAGAGGATTCGGGGTTTGCCCACATCTGATTCCCTACTGTCTTCTTCTTCTGTGTTCGACATCAGTCATGCTAAACATTGAGTCCCGTCTGGGTCACAAATAGGATTGTGCGTTTAAGGTCGCCACCGGTCCCCCATAGCTTAAATTCCCTACTGTTATTAAATTGTATATTTAAATGTATTAAAATATACTGGCTATTGTTCATTGACACAAGTGATTACAGTTGAAATAACTCCATAACATTGGAGGAAACATTAAAACTATAACATTTACTTGGAAAAGTCAAACTAATAATTAGCCTAGCTGTGGAGATAAAATTAGTTCTTTATAATGGTAGACAAATTTGTCCACTTATATGTAGCTCAGGTTTCTTTGGTCAGCTTCTAGCTAAGCCTCAGAGACACATCAGGCAGGCCGAGTCTTCCAGTCCAGTCCAGACAATCGGGCATCTGCAGCCACGCTGGGATTTACTTATGGAACTCCCACCTGGAACTACCATCTGGAACTAGAACAATAGAACAGACCCTATACAAGCAGTTTGGAAAGTTCTCACTGGAGACAACAGTGCCTCCAGTTCTCATATACTGTTAAACTACACACACATATGGAGTAGGGTAATCACAAGTGTTCACATCCTTTACTGGTACAGACTGGGAATGTTTACAGAACATGGTCCATAATCCTGATAGGGAAATGTTTTGGAAACATCAGTTTCCTGAATACTGTCTAGCACAATAGTTTACATCACATAATAAAAAAGAACATTCATCAGTGTAAATTGTTCTGATGTCTTTCACTAGTACTCCTTTGAGGGGATAATATGCTTACACACACAGTCACATTTTACAATAGGCTCTCATTTTAACCACGTGGGTTCACATCACAAAGAATGAGAATCAGGGAGTGAGTTTACATGGGCCGGAAACTCATAACAGGTGCGTTAAGCAGTTTAAAAATAAATAGGATTGACACATCTTCATCAATATAACTGGGTGCTGGGATAGATGTCAAAATACAATCATAGAGACAATAGGCTTTCCATCTGTCACAGTATTAACATAAAATATACAACACTAACTCCAGTTTAAATCTAAATCCACATGTGTGCTAAATCTTATTCAGTAGAGTTTAAAAGTTGGAAAAGGTGAAATATAATTATTACAATTGTAAGGCCACCTGCTGTGGTACTGAAAAATATTCCCGCTATGAAAACGAGTGTACTAATATACAATACTAACCCAGCTAGACACCGGTTAAAAAATGGTGTCTTCATTAGTCGTGTCTATCGCACAGCTTGAAATCTACAACTATATAGTATGGTACAGAATTCACCTGAAATCATTGAAATGCCGCCATAGATTACAAACATTTATATTAACCAAGCATAGGTCAACAAAAAAAAACACGGAAAAAAATTACAAGCACGGCAAACCGAAATGCTTTGTGTAATATACAAAGGACAGTTAAGAAATATATCTTATTAGTAGGTTCCATTCAGTACACGGGATACACGTAAATAGAGGGGGAGCCCTTGAGGCTATAGAAACTATAACAAGAAGAACTCCACAAGGGAGCATGCACAACATGGGTAAACCGTTTATCAGAAGAGATCCTTCAACGACAGTTGTTTCGGCCTATTACTTCCCTAAACAATCTCGGAAGGTGGGCCCGCCTGGGTCATGATGCTAAGCCCCGATCTTCCCCTGCTGCACTTTATCGGTCTTGATAGGGACAAGACTTTGCAAAAGGTGCTGTGAGATTTAGTGTTCAGTTTTCGCTGCGGTAGCAGTTAGATCAGTTGACTACATTTACGACAAGAGTGACAAGCTAAAGGTTGATTGCTCGAACAAATGTTAGACTGAAATTTGGCAGAGAGACACCGGCAGACATTTATTGGACACTTTGGCTTTTAAGGGATAAGACATTTTTGTCCACTAGGGACTCGGACCAGACTACCGAGGCCCATCACCCACGTTACTTCCAGAGCCAGCTCGAATTTATTTCTGCGGCTTCGCCCAGTTTTAGTGAAAGTTTAGGCTCGTTTCCTCGCAAGACCAGCTGCTTTAGCACATAGTAAAATGTGGAAATAAGACCTCTTGCGCCTACCTCGACGGCGAAGATTTTTACGGCGTACGCTTCGTCTCTCCTCCGACCGGCCACGAACTCACCGAATTTTTCGAGTTTTTACAGGTTATTTTCTTCCATCCGCGAATCGTACGGTACGGTCAGCTCAAACAGGATGAGCTGGCGTTTTTACTTAGAGTGCAGAACTATGTCAGGTCTCAGGTCGGGTCTTCCGGATTGACTCTGGGTACCTCTTTAAACTAGGCAGGTCGACAGCCAGTAACCAGTCCCTCGCACAGTCAAGTATTGATGGAGCGAATGCGACCTTGTTGATGTTACCTTCATAAATCTGCCCAGCCTTGATGAAGCGCATGCAGGTGACAGTAGGACTGACCCTCTCGTTGGTCCTTATCATGACTTAGTCCACAACACCCGCTAACTCTTTCAGTACTTTGTTGTGGCGCCAAGTACATCGTTCCTGGCCTAGGGTTTTTCTGCACGCGGATAGTACGCGCTCGAGCATCTGCTTAGCTGTGCACAGTGGGCATGTCGGGTCGGTAGTCCTATGCCATTTCACCATGTTGACACCAGGCGGTAACACACCGTACGCATAATATGAACATAGTGTATATAATAAGTAAACAATATATTGATGGTGCTCGTGGAAAGAAGTAATAATATAGAAAGGCACACTAGATAACATACAAATCGAAAGCTATTGTTACCTTGCAGGGAATCGAACATGTCACCTGCAAATAGCATTTCCGTTTCCCAGCACGTTAACTAAACTAGCTTTTGGTTGCCGGAAAAGTAACTGGGACAAACATTAAACATCTTTGCGGGTTTTCTTTTTTTATCTGTTTTTGGAAGTGGTGCAGTCAATAGGAGAGCCCTTCCTGCTTGGGTTCAGAGAGTTAAGACTTCGGAGAATAGAAAGACAAACCTAGAGATTTGAACGAATCCTGATGTATGCAAGAGGTACATGTCCTTGTTTCACATTGAGATAGACAGAGACTATACACACCAGTTGCACATTGGTTATTCCCATGTGTGCTCAGTCCTCCGATGCAGCAGCCATTGCAAGGTACCTCTACAACCATTGTTTTAAACAAGCAAGAACAGAAAACAAAACATATTGTATATCAAATATACACTAGATTTGAGTCATTATCTTTTTCCTTCTTATTGTTTTGTTTGATAGTCGACGGGAGCGTCAATTCAAGTGGCCAGCGAGATGCTGCCCAACTCGACAGAACGGGCCGTGACTCTTTCAGGCACAGCAGATGCCGTGACACAGTGCATCAAGTACGTCTGTGGCATCATGCTGGAGGTAAGAGTCGTCTTGTGTAGGCTTCTGTGGGTGTGGGGGTTTGTGTTGTGGGCTTCTGTGGGTGTGGAGGTTTGTGTTGTGGGCTTCTGTGGGTGGGGGGGGGGGGGGGGTGTTGTATGATTCTGTGGGAGAGGGGGGGGGGGAGGGTTGTGTTGTAGGCTTCTGTGGGTGGAGGAGGGGTTGTGTTGTGAGCTTCTGTGGGTGGAGGAGGGGTTGTGTTGTGAGCTTCTGTGGGTGGAGGAGGGGTTGTGTTGTGAGCTTCTGTGTGTGTGGGGGTTTGTGTTGTGGGCTTCTGTGGGTGTGGGGGTTGGTGTTGTGGGCTTCTGTGGGTGTGGGGGTTTGTGTTGTGGGCTTCTGTGGGTGGGGGGTGGGGGGTTTAACAAGTGTGAACTCTAGTTGTATGGGTTGAGAGAGCCAGTACTGCTACATATTGTGGGGGATGCTTTTTTGAGGTGGACTATGCAGGTTACTGTTATATATATTTTTTAGGTTCTGAGTTTAAGACTTAGTTTATTATAGAAGCTGGTACAGCTGTGTGGCAAATCTGGTAAACCGTACGCTGTATTGTGTTTACAGTTTTCATTCAAGTTTCTGACAGGGAATCGTTACCACAATCTGCTTACTCCTCCCCCCCCCCCCCCACCTTTCCATCCCGTATACCTTGTCTTATTATATACACGAATATCTATTTGGTACCTTCATTAACATTCCTATGTGGAATGTCGTAAAGCCAGAACGTCCAGTCTGATATGAAAAACCTTGAGAAGCGAAAAGAGAGTGGACAGGGGCGCTAATCAATAAGAAGATTGTTTACAACACACACACACACACACACACACACACACACACACACACACACACACACACACACACACACATATATATATATGGGGGGTGGCTGGCTGGCAGTAATCAAAGCATAATCATTCGACCTTGATAATAATTGTACACTTATTTCTGCTTATTGAATTGTATCATAGGCTGTACTTCAAGTTACTCAGCGTGTCGCTAAAAATCGTTTCGCTTACCACGCTTGATATACGTGCTGTGGGTAGGTAGGTGAGTTGTACCCCCTCAGGATATCACACAAGCGATAAACACCCTGTGACACAAAATGCCACCATGCGGATGAGGATCACCCGTGGAGAGGTCCCGGAAACCGCCTTCAGCCATTAGACCATATTTATGGCCCGGTTACATTTGTGGTCCCCGGCAAAAGCCAGGGTGGGGCTTCAAAATAAATAAAAATTGCATCCCACATAGGGACGACAGATTGAAACGTGCTGTAGATTTTCAACGTCTTTTATAGGTAATGCTGACTCAGCTGGTCGCTCATGTACTCCTTAAACTTCGCATACTTTTCAAAAAGCAATGGTTTGTAACCCGCATTCTGTCGATGAAGCACTCTAGCTCATCCGTACGGCTTGCTATCTTTGGAGCTTGTCGTTGGTGAAGAAGCTCGGTATATCTCACTCTTATCATTTAGCCTTTTCTCTGGTGCCATTGGCGTGTCCAGCCCTGAAGATGAATGTCTCAGATCAATTCCTAGTTGGTCCTGGGGGAGAGCATCTTGAATGTCAGTGCTGAGTCGCTTGAATCGTTTAACCCCGGCACGAGGTGTGTAATCTAATACTTGCTATCCTATATAAGATCCTTTCTCGCGGCGCCCCCTTTCCCCATCCACAATCTCGTGTCTGTATATTCCTCAGTGTCCCTTTTTGCACTCGTCTGTGGTCCTCTGTATCTCTCACTGTGTCTGTCTGTCTGTCTGTTTAGCTGCCTCTCTATGTGTCACTGTGTTTCTTTCTGCATCTGTATCGGCCTGTGGTTGTTTCTCTGCTCTTGTCTCAGCTTGCAAATGTCTGTTTGTACCTCTACGGCCGTCTTTATCTATATTTCTATATACTGTATTTATTTTTCTATCTATATTTATCTCTCTCTCTCTCTCTCTCTCTCTATATATATATATATATATATATATATATATATATATATATATATAGAGAGAGAGAGAGAGAGAGAGAGAGAGAGAGAGAGAGAGATCCTACCTACGATCCCCAACATCATGTATCTGTTCGTGTCCTGACCAACCCTGCATGCCCTGAGAAATATATATATTTCCTTCATGTACGTGACTGTTCGTATCTTTCTGTGTCCGTCTATTTCTTTGTTTTTACGTAATGTCTTTGTTATAAACGATGATTTGCATTGTATAGAGAACCTCTACAGTCTACAGTTATTCACTAATTCCATCTTTTACCGAACGGCTCCGTTTCACGACTACATCTTGTAATGGCCGGTTTCTTGGACAGCTGCACTTGAAGAGGTTCAGGGGCAGCAAGTGACCTTTTCTAATGACCTCCATGCACCGGTCATGCATCCGGCAGCACGTGTGAGCTTATCTGACATGACATTTTAGCCCCGCACACTAGACACCTCACAGCATCAGATTGTGGCAAATTTATGATTGTGTCCTTCTCTTTTTGTCTTTTTATCTATTGATATAAATACCCTTTATGTATATTTTGATGTTTCCCAGCATTAGGTTAGGCATGTTATATCGTTGTCATTATCTGCAAGTGCCTTGCCGACTGGTGTGGGCGATAATGCACTGCCTACGATCCCCAACATCATGTGTCTGTTGGTGTCCTGACCAACCCTGCATGCCCTGATCAAAGGCGGTTGAAAATCGTTTCGGTTTGTCTTCCTCTATATCTCTTTCCACACATCTTTCCAGTGGTCACAACATGTTCTAGTTTCCCATAATAGGTCAGAAGTGTCGAGTGTTTCCATCTGATGTTTATTAAGTTGTGTTCGGGCTTTCACCTCTTTCAAAACATCCAGATTTCTCCTTTTGTATGTGATTCTACTTCTGTAGAAAAATCTGGTAAGATTTGTCCGACCACAAAAATAAATCGCCTAGGAAATCCCTGGATGGTTTACAAAAATATATGCTTATCAAAGGAACGGAGACAGAAGGATTCTTTAGGCAAATTAATAAATTAACGTACAGTAAAGGACAGGTTTTCCACGCTATGCATGACAGGCCTGCTCCGTGCTGAGTGGCCATAATCACTTCAGAGGTCGAAGGTAGTTAGCATTCTTTGGAGATTTGTGCCAAGTATGCCGGTGTGTGGGGAATTGATCAGGCAGATTGACTGGCCGGTTCTGTACCGCTTGGTGGTGAACCGAAGAATGGCGCTGCAAGGAGTTACAGGGGGATCTGGCCGGCGCTCAACACTCAGGGAAAAGGCGAGACGGATATACATTCAGGCAGTTACTGGTGTCGTCGGTGTTGGAGATCTTCAGATGCAGGAAGAACAGACTAATGTCAATTATGGTTTAGCAGTTAGAAAGCTAGCCTGCTGATCCGAAGGAGGTGGGTTCACATCTGAATAGGGTTGGACTTTTGTCAAAATTGACCTTGGCATATAGGGCGACCCAGCCTTAAGTATCAGGTAAAGTCTTGGAAAGTAAAGGCGACCGGCGTGATGTTGACCACATCATCCATCGACTGGTCTATAAAATATAGCGCTAGCTTTCTATTCCCTATATGCTTGATGGCGTGGGAAAATGTTGAATGTTGAATAAGGAATCGACATCATAGCACTCGGGACACTCCCATAAGCGCTCTGTCCCTATCTTTAGCAGCAAACGAAGAGTTCCAATTCCGAGCCATTATTTACACATATGCTCTTATTATTGTATATTTTTGTTTGTTAGTTATTGTAATGTTGTTTATATACTAGTCATTTTCGCCATTTGAATTTACCCTCACACACACACACACACACACACACATACATACACACACACGCACGCACACACACACACGCGCGCGCACAAACACGCACACACACACACACACGCACGCACACACACACACGCGCGCGCACAAACACGCACACACACACACCCTTCCATCTCGTCTCGTATCTTACTCTCTCCTCCCCCTTTCTCCTCTGTGTGTATATCTCTGACTCTCTCTCTCTCTCTCACTCTGTCTTCCTCTCTGTTTCTCTCTGTCTCTGTGTCTCTCTCTCTCTCTCTCTCTCTCTCTCTCTCTCTCTCTCTCTCTCTCTCTCACCACGATTAGACTACTGTATAAACTTGAGTATACCCTACTCATATTAAATATTTTGCTACATAAGCATAGCATGGTAAAACATACAGTTGATGTCTAAAAGATTAATGTCTGGAAGGGCCGAATGTAAGACGAGCCAACGTGATTAATTTTTAGCACATGGAAGAAAAAAAAAGTTTTGTTCCTTCGTTTGCTCGTTCTCTCTTCGCTGTAGTCCTGTTCGTTGAACGTCTTTCATTTCCTACATCGACACCTTTACTGGTGTGGGTATTTGTTTATGTAACCAGATCAACCCAGTTTTCTAATCAACTTGAAGAAAATTGTCCAGAAAATACATTTCATTTCCCGTAAGCCTCCTTCTTATCGATAAACAAATTGGTGATGATGATGTTTTTGCTGTTATCTATAGACTGCTGAGTTGTCTATTATTCTCGGCAGCTCTGTGCTAGGATAGCTCACGTTTGTTGTAACTTGTTTACTGTTCTTTACCTATGATCACCTTTAAAACGGGTGTCTTCATCATCTTTCTTTTGTCCGACTGCTTATATCATGAAGTTTTTTAGAGGGAGTATTTTTCTCCATCGTACATCCTTATAAAAGGTTTCTTCTTCTTCATCTTCTTTTGTCTTACTGCTTATGTCATAAAGCTTCACAGAGTGAGTTGTTGGTCTCCTTCGTTCTCCCCAATAAAAGGTTTCTTCTTCTTCATCTTCTTTTCTCTTACTGCTTATGCCATAAAGCTTCAGAGAGTGAGTTGTTGGTTTCCTTCGATCTCCCTTATAAAAGGTGTCTTCTGTATCATCTTCTTTTGTCCTACTGTTTATGTCATAAAGCTTCACAGACTGAGTTGTTGGTTTTTTTCGATCTCCCTTATAAAAGGTGTCTTCTTTATCATCTTCTGTTGTCCTACTGTTTA